TAGGTTGGAGTGGTGCCCTGCGTTTGGGTATTGAGCCCTTAAAAGATGCACAAGTCGGACAAGTGTTACAGAACGTAGCCACCTGTTCCCGCAGGTGCGGCCACCAAAAACGTTGCCTTACCGCGGCCTCTGTTTTCGTGTGTCCGACATGGCCTAATTCTCTGTGGATGTCTTCTAGGACTAGAATGACCAAGCTCCCAGGAACGACGAGCCGTGGTTGATTGTTCATGTCGTCTTTGAAGAAAAGCAGGTCGTTTTCTAGATACAGGTGTTGCCAATGGTTCCTCACGATTCGAGCAATGTCGGACGAGCCACAAAGATCAGTATCAGTGGGGCGGTGTCTACCGTGAAGCTGGTGGTCGTATACGATAGCTGTGTCTGGATCTGTACTCTGCGCGACAGCCCACTGGTGACGTGTGGGTTCACTAACCGTTATGGCGTTTATGGTAGCATCCTCCCTGTATCTAGAGGGATCCTCTGTTGCTGCAGGTCTCCTGGACAATGCGTCCGCATTGTTATGTTTCGTGCCTGGCCGGTATTGGCAGGTAAAATCAAATTGTTGCAGAGTTTCCTGCCATCTTGCCAACTGCCCTTCGGCGTCTTTCATATTTTGCAGCCATTGTAATGCTTTATGATCCGAACGGATAATAAAATGTCTCCCCAATAAGAACGGTTTAAATTGTTTAACGAAGGTCATCAGGGCAAATAACTCCCTACGATAGGTGCAATAATATCGTTGCGCCTTATTTAGAGACTTGCTCGCAAAACAAATTGGGCGTTCATTTCCTGAATCGTCTGACTGTGATAAAACTCCGCCAATAGCAAATCCGCTAGCGTCCGTATCAAGGACAAAGGGTGGAGCATCTGTAGCTGTGTTCGGTAGCATTAACACCGGGGCCGATATCAGTCGACTTTTTAATTCCTCGAACGATGTCTGGCAATCATCCGTCCAAGCAAATTGTCTACCTTTCTCAGTCAATCTGTGTAGCGGTCGTGCAAGCTCTGCGAAGTGCGGGATAAACCGTCTGTAATATGATGCAAGACCAACGAAACTGCGCACCTCGGTAGCTGATTTCGGCGGGGGCCACGTGCGGATAGTGTCGATTTTTTCTGGAGATGCATATATGCCTTCTGCACTGACTTCATGGCCCAGGTATGTGACCCTCTGCCGAAGAAAAGAACATTTTACCGGGTTCAGGCGTAACCCAGCGTCACGTAAAGCTGTCAGTACCGCCATGAGCCTACGGTTATGTTCGTCTACAGATCTACCGAACACAATCACGTCATCCAGATAGACCAAGCAGTGTATTGGGAAAAGATGTGCTAGAACCACCTGCATCAGTCTTTGGAAAGTGGCCGCAGCGTTGCAAAGGCCGAAAGGCATGGTCTCGAATTCGAACAATCCCTGTGGCAGTATAAAAGCTGTTTTATGTTGGTCCTTGGGTTCAACTTCAACTTGCCAGTATCCAGACTTTAAATCCAGGGTGGAAAACCATTAAGCACCAGCCAAGGCGTCCAAAGTAACGTCAATCCGAGGTAAAGGGAAAGAATCCCTAACCGTAAGCGCATTCAGTCGTCTGTAATCCACACAAAAACGTAGTTTGCCATCCTTCTTTGGTACTAGGGTAACTGGAGACGCCCAGGGTGAACGAGAGGGTTTAATAATCCCAGCTTTCAACATCTTGTCCAGAAGATCGCTAACCTCTGCCTATAAGTGGGCCGGAATCCGTCTCGGGGGTTGCCACACCGGCTTCGCGTTTCCGGTCTCAATAGAGTGTCGCATATAGTTCGTACGACCAATCTGGCTTTCATCCCATGCAAAAACATCGTGAAAAGATAAAAGTAGTGATCGAAGACCCTCCTTATGCGCCGTGTCCATGTCCGTGTGGTCTTTCAGTACATCATCAATATTTGTAGGTGGAAGATTCACGACGGCAGAAATTCGTGCACAAACCACGGCCTCATCAAACGAATCGTTAGTATTTGCCAAATCTATTTCTCCACCAAAACTGACCGCTCGATTTCTGACATTGATAAAGCAGTCATA